AAAGAAAGAAAAAAAAACAAAAACAAAAAGGTGCACAGCACAGTGGGCTGTGTACTCTCCTGGGGCAACGAGGGCTGCTTTGTTAAGACGCTTGTTCTTTTCATTATAGTGAAATGCTCATTACAGAATTGGCCATCCTAGGCATTTTTAATGTGCGGCCAGTGGCATGAAGCACATTTACAAGGATGTACATCCACCTCCAGAACCTTCTCATCTTCCCAGACTGATGCTAGAGCCCCAGTCAGCACTAACTGCTCCTCCTTCACCCCTGGTGACTCCTGTTCTACTTTCTGTCTCTGAATTCGACAAGTCCAACGATCCAGCTCTTTCACCTTCATGGTTGGCTGTTTCCCTGAGCATGGTGACCTTAAGGCTCATCCATGTCCTGTATCACAACGTGGAATTCCCTTTTCAGGGCTGAGTCACACTCCAGCAGGGAGAGTCACACTTAGCTTCTCTGTCCATCTGTGGTGCGTGCTCTGCGGTACGTGCTGCGACACTGTTGCCTTTGGCTTTCCTGAGCAGCTCTGCTGGGAACGTGGGTGTGCAATCTTTCTCCTTCACACAAGCAGGTGCCCTCTCTCCGAGAGACTCTGTGAGGAGCAGGCGGAGCTGAGCAGCTGCTTCCAGGCTGCAGAAGTGTGAAGTGGCTCTTTCGTCTGACTTTTAACACATACGATGATTTCCTTTGTTATATAAAATAACTAGGAAATGAAAAGGTAACAGTGAAACTAGGCTGTCCTCACTGTTCAATATGTGATCATGATGGAAAAGTCTGGAGACCCAAATGCACCTAGAGAAGAAAATAAAGGCCACCCATCCGGCTCTGTCCTCCCTGCTTCTGTCCTGCTGTGCCAGGTGGGACCCATGGGAGGGCGGGAGGTCCAGCCTGCCTCACACAGCCCTCACCCACAGCACCAGAATGGCATGTATGGGCTGCACCAGAACGTGCACCATTTCAACTCCTTCGACGAGGTGCGGAGTCTGCCGCTGCTGCTCAGCCAGGCCGGCGTGCGCACAGGTGAGGTGAGGGCCCTGCAGACCCTGGAGGTCCCCAGCTTTGAGCCACCCTTAACCCCTTTACACTTATCTCAGGACCTGGGCTGGGTGTCCCTGGCTTGGCTGAGGCTTCACGAGAGCCCAGGGCCAGGGCTGTCCCCTGCAGTCCCAGCACAAGACTTAGGGGTGGAGAAGGGACAGGGTGAATCCACAGGGCTGCTCCCACCTCCCGCAGGCATCATTGGGAAGAAGCATGTGGGGCCAGAGGCTGTGTACCCATTCAACTTTGCCTACACGGAGGAGAATGACTCTGTGCTCCAGGTGGGGAGGAACATCACTAGAATTAAGCTGCTTGTCCGGAAATTCCTGCAGACTCAGGACAACAGGTACAGGACACCCCTGCCTGGTACCCTCCTTATAGCCACCACATCTGAAGTGGGGATGGTGTGGGTGCTGGGAAAGATTGTGGATGTTCAAGTTAGTGTAGCCAGAAATGAGGAGAAACGGAGGCACTGAGTGTGGCAGGGAGACTTTCAGAGAGAGGAGAGCCGGCAAAACAGAGATGGAGGGTTGTACCAGGCATGGTGGGTGCACACTTATAATGCCAGCCCTCAGAACTCAGGCACATTGCCATGAGTTCAAGGTGAGCCTGGGCTCCATAGTGAGTTCAAGGGCAGTGTAGACCATGTAGTAAGACCCTGTCTCATCAAAACAAAACAAAAAACCCGGGAGGGTGACCCTGCCTAAAGAATAGGACATCAAGTCAGGTGTGGTAACACACACCTATAATCCAGCATTCTGGGGTGCCGAGGCAGGAAGAACATAGGTTTGAACTCAGCCTGGGCAACTTAATGAGAACCTATCTTAAATTATTATTATTATTTTTTTTTTAAGAAAATGACAGGGGCTGGGGAGATAGCTCAGTGGTCTAAGCATCTGCCTGGCAAGCACAAGGTCCTGAGTTCAATTCCCAGTACCACAGGCCATGCTAGCCCCAGAATCCCAGGCATGCTGTGCTGGCAACCAAAACCAGGTGTGGTGGTGTATGCCTGTAATCCCAGCAAAAGAGAAGGACATACGGCTCAGTGTGGCTGGCCTGGGTCCAATCCCCAAAGCCACAAGAAGAAAAAGAGAACTTTCCAGAATAGAACCTCAAGTTATTGGCTAAGCCAGGTGGGGGCATCACCTTGGCAGACCCTGGCCTTGAGCAGAGCCCCCTGCCACGTCCAGGCCCTTCTTCCTCTACGTGGCCTTTCATGACCCGCACCGCTGTGGGCACTCCTACCCCCAGTATGGAGCCTTCTGTGAGAAGTTCGGTAATGGAGAGAGCGGCATGGGGCACATACCGGATTGGACGCCCCAGACCTACGACCCTAAGGATGTGGTGGTAGGAGGGACCCTTGCCATGTTTCCAAGACTACCCCCCCAGCCCAAAACCAAGTACCTTGTCCTCCACGGAGCTTGGCAGCCCTGCCTCAAATGATATGACAAAACATTAGAGGAGACTCCCCTAACTAAAAAGCTCCTCATGCCCCCCACCCCCACCACCCGTGAGGTCAAAGAATGCCTGGGAGGCTCAGAGTGATGCATCCAGAGTAGCCTGCTCTGGCTAAGCCATTCACTAGAGGAAGAAGGTGGCAGGCCCCCAGGGAGGGCTGACACCTCCTCCCACCCTCGTTCAAGGCAGGGTCTCTCTTCCCTCCTCCCAATCATGTCTGTTCCACCTGCATGCTTTTCCCAGGTGCCGTACTTTGTCCCTGATACCCCAGCAGCCCGAGCAGACCTGGCTGCTCAGTATACCACCATTGGCCGGATGGACCAAGGTGAGTTCCAGGAAGTGGCAGTGGGGCTATGCCAAGGCTTTTGTCCCAACCTGAGGCCGGTGACTCTCAGCTGGATTGGGCTAAACCTAGGTGGGCCCCACCAGCAGCAGGGTGTGAGCAAGGGTGTATGAGCTTTATTATTTTTGAATCACTGGGACAAAATACCCAGCACCCACAACATACAGGAAGAAAGGTTTACTTGATTCATAGTTTTCTGTGGGTTCAGTCCATGGTTTGCTAGGCTCCAAGGCAGAGGCAGTGTGGTGGAAAGGCCCGAGGAAGGACAGCTGTTCACACCATAGGCAGGAAACAGAGAGAAAAGAGGAGGAGCCGGGAACAAAGATACTTCCTTCAGGTCACACTTTCAGTGAAGGTGTGTCTTCTCGCTAAGCTCCACCCCCTACTAGCACAGTCAGCTATGAACCCATCAGTAGACTAATCATTGATGAGCATAGTGCCCCCATAATCCAGGCACCACCCAAAAGCCCTACCTCTGCATACAAGACAGGGATCTATGTTTTAGATCTAAACCATAACAGAGGGTCAGTGTGGACAGCGCATCCCTGGGTTGAACAGAATTACATTCGGAGAACAAGTCCTGGGTGGACTTTACTGCAGAATTGTTTCTGGGCCAGCTAGGGGCTGAATGAAGACTCACAAGTGCTCTTCCAGTAAAAGGATCTGGATCAGATTTGGGGTTTGGAGTTGCGTAGATTATGCAGATGTGAACGCAGGAGGCATGTTAAGAGGTTCGTCTTTAAGGCCACCGTAACTGAGTGCCCCCAGTTTAGATGGCCTTTGTTCCGTCGTTCTAGAGGCTGGAAGTCTGAATGGAAGGCTCGTTCTTGCTTCTGGCTTCTGAGCTGGCGACCCTTGGAGTCTGTAGGCCTACAGTGTCACTGCAGCCTCTGGCTCCATCCTCACATGACTTTTTCACTGTGTTGTTTCCTCTTTTGTCTGTGTCTCTTTCTCTAGTCATCCTTGTTGTGGAACTTAAGGCCACCTCCACACTTCAGGATGATCTCATCCCAAGATACTTAACTTGCCTCTGCAAAATCCCTTTTTCCAAACTGTCCTGGATGGACATTGGGGGGTGGGGACCATTCAACCCCTTGCAGGAGACTGGTGCCTTTATCATGTCTCTATTGGTGCTTTGAAAAGGAGAAGTAGAGGAGACCCTATCTTCCAGCCCCTGCCCAGGATGACCCTTTGCTCCACAGGACAAGCACAACATTCCAGAATCAAAGAAACTGGCATGGGGTAGTCTCAGGTAGCTGGATGGGACCAACACTGGAGAATGGCCAGGTCCCTGGAGGCCCATGCCACCTGCTCGAGGTCAGGGAGCTGGATGGGTTGGATATGAGACCTGGGCTGGTGTTTTGAGGTCCAGAAAGTGACCCAGAGTACAGCAGGTGGCTAATAACATTGTCCCGTTGTCTGAGTGCATGCATGCCTGAGTCCCTCCTTCACGTCTGTGGCTGAGTCCACCCTTGGCCCTCCCAACCTACAGGGATTGGACTCGTGCTGCAGGAGCTGCGTAGAGCCGGCGTCCTGAATGACACGCTGGTCATCTTTACATCAGACAATGGGATTCCCTTCCCCAGCGGCAGGACCAACCTGTATTGGCCAGGGACTGCTGAGCCCTTGCTGGTGTCATCCCCGGAGCACCCGAAGCGCTGGGGCCAGGTCAGCGAGGCCTACGTGAACCTCCTAGGTAAGGTTCTGCTACATGGGAGAGGTGGAGGGGAGCACAGACTGCCTGCCCTGGGTCAGGCCTTGCTCTGCTCCTTAGTGGTGCTTCTAGACTACTATCCTGTCAGGTTTTCCTGTGGATGCAGAGTCCCTGGTGACCATGCTTAACCCCCAGAAGGCCTGGGGTTATCTAGACCAGCTTGCCAGCAAGCACAGACCACCAGCATGGGAAACTGGGAGGCCGGGATGAGCATGGCCCTCGTGGGAGCTCACTGTGCCCTGTTCAGACCAGTGGGTTCCCACCAGCAGGGGTCCCATAGCTTCCTTCGGTCCTACCCACACAACAGCACTGTGACCACAGCAGAGTAAGATTTTCCCTATCTGGAACACTCGTAAGACCCTAATTCCAGGGTCCCTGAGATGACCAGCTTTGAAGGGGGTCAGTGCAAAGCAATACTCCCTGCTGAGGGGTGGCTTAGACTCAGCCCTTCCAGAGAAGGTTCCAGTGCCCCACAGAGACCCTTGCTGCCACATGTTTGCTTTGCAGACCTCACGCCCACCATCTTGGACTGGTTCTCCATCCCCTACCCCAAGTATGCCATCTTTGGCTCAAAGACTGTTCAGCTCACAGGCCGGTCACTCTTGCCAGTGCTGGAGACAGAGCCCCCTTGGGCTACTGTCTTCAGCAGCCAGAGCCACCATGAAGTCACCATGTCCTACCCCATGCGCTCCGTGTACCACCAGAACTTCCGCCTTGTGCACAACCTCAGCTTCAGGATGCCGTTTCCTGTGGACCAGGACTTCTACATCTCACCCACCTTTCAGGACCTGCTGAACCGCACCACAGCAGGCCAGCCCACTCACTGGTACAAAGACCTGCACCACTATTACTACCGGGAGCGCTGGGAGCTCTATGATGACAGCCTCGACCCCCAGGAGACCCAGAACTTGGCTACCGACCCCCGTTTTGCAGAGGTGCTGGAGATGCTGAAGACCCTCCTGGCCAAGTGGCAGTGGGAGACCCACGACCCCTGGGTGTGTGCCCCCGATGGTGTCCTGGAAGAAAAGCTGTCTCCACAGTGCCGGCCACTCCATAATGAACTGTGATGGTCCCTGAGGCACCTGCCCAACCCTTCCATTCTTACACACCCCTATCTGAGGTGGCTCCTCCTGCCTCTCCTAGAGAAGAAACCCACATATGGACATCAGTCCTCTTCCAGGTACGGCCATCATAAAGAAGGTTGCTGGCCTCATGTTGGAGGGTTGAGACACTCTTAAATCAACTGACCGATGTTTGTAAGCCCTTCACCCCAAGGAGACTGGGCCCTCCTGTGTCACATGGGCTTTTACCCACCTGGTCTGCTGCAGGTCTTGGAACTACCTGGGGCTGGCCTGGCCTGCGTCCCCTCCTGAGGTGCCTACCCACGGGATTCTCCCAGATTCCTGGCAGTGACAAGTTTATTCCTGTGTTCTTTCTGGTCATCTTTTCTACAAGTGACTGAAGATAAAGGTGGGACAGTGCACTTCCTGGAGCTTGGGTTCTGTGTGTGACACCAGTGTCGGGCTCCACCTGCCCTTCCTCCACTGCCTTGGGAGCAGATACTTGACCTGGAAAAACCTAGAAAGCAGGCTTTTCCTCTCATGGAGGGCTTCGTCCCTTCTTCCCCCACCAACTCCATACTGGGGGGGGGGGGGAGAAAGCCACAGGCCCCAGAACTGTAAAATCTTTTTATTTTAGTAAAACAAGTTTATTTACTGAATTCATTTATGATAGTAGCAACTTGAATTCTGGGAGGATGTCCTAGTGCAGAGACACTGTCCAGTGACAGACATGTAGTGTGCAGAAGTCCTGGGAGCTGGGAGTCACGGGCAGGTGAGGTGCTCACCAGGCCCGGGCTGAGTTGCTCCCACACTGTAGTGGGGGATGAGGATGCTGGGCCCAGATGAAGGCTGGCAGGCTGTCATTCTCAGCCCAGGAAGACTCTGCTGGCCCTGTCCAGTGGCCAGCAGAGTGCCTGGCTCTCCAGGATGTTCCTGGGTCCCCAGAACCAGTTGTGGAGGCCACTAGGCAGACTATGGATACCCTGGGCCATCTCCACAGGGACTGCTCACACATGACTATATAGGTGTCGTTCACCCAGCAGGACCAAGGCAGTACTTAGCCATCAGGGACTGAGAAAAGCCTGCCAGGGTTGCCCTGTCCTGAGTAGGGATGGCAGCTCCGGTTGGCTCAGAAGGTACCCCTTGATACTTTGAATGTGAAAGGAAGAGTAACCCCCACAGTCAGACAAGCACTGGTCCAGGTGTCCCAGGAGGTCTGGGGAGGCTTGGGAAGCCCCCCAACCCCTGCAGAGAGGTCCTCAGGGGTGCCAGCAAGCCCACAACCAGCCCTGGAAGAGAGTGGCAATGGCTTTCACAGAGGACTGAGCATGAACAGGGACTTGACCGTTTAGGACCCACATGAGGTGAGGGTGCAGAGTATGACTCCCGGGGAGGGGACAGCGAGGCTTGTGTGCTGAGCAGCCCCAGCTGTGCCCTAGGCCCTGGCTCAAGGCAAAAGCAGCATTCACAGGCACACAGAGACCCACAGCCCCAGGAGGGGTGTGATGGCGTCATCAGGGGCTCTGCTCTGTCCACACCACCTTCTTCTGCTCATCTGCAATGGCCAGGCGAACACAGCCCAGCAGCCCGTCTAGGTCACTCCAGCTGTCAGGGGCCAGGCTGCTATACAGGCAGGGCACTTTATCCAGCTCCCCCTCCTCCTGTCTGGCTGCCTCCAGGAGCTGCTCCTCTGAGACGCTGAACCGCTGCAGGCCCTTCCTATGTGGGCAGAGATGTTGCAGCTTCAGGGAAGGGGAGGCTGTCCAGGGAAAGCTGCCATACTTGGCGGCCCAGGACAGAGCCCAGGATAGAGGTACATTTGCACCTATCCAAGCCCCTGGATGCAACAGTGGGCCCCACCTCAAGGGATATTTTGAAGAAACTAGGACACAGTTTCCAGTGACATTGCACTGGTGGGGACAGGTTGTCTAGAACAGAGCTGCCTCCCCAGTGTCTAAGCAGTGCTAGAACATCTGCTCATCCTTTCAGGAAGCAAGCGCTGGAGTAGTTTTCAGCATATTGGGTCCTCACAATGGATAGACTGAGCACAGGAGTGTGTGGCCTTGGTGGCATTAGGGCAGGGGCAGGCACTCACCTAGGAGAGGGCAGTGGGACTTTGTCCACAGGTTATGGCCACAGTACCCTCAGGACTTCCAGAGACAGGCGCGGCATGGAGACACAAACTGAGCTCCACCAGAGCTGGGGTGCCCACCTGAACCCCACTGCCCAGCCTCAGAAGATACCTACCTGAGTTTCTTTGCCGTCTTCTCATTGATAGAGACATGGATGATGATGGGGAAGATGTCCATCCTGTGCAGGACGCAGACCCTGCCCAGCCAGACATCCAGAAGGGCGTGGGTGTTCTTTGGGAGAAGGAAGAGGGAATGAGCCCAGCTCTTGGGCTTCTTCCAGAGAGGGAGGGAGAGGGGCCAGGCAGGGCTTACTAGGGTAGATGTGGAAGAGAGACTGCCTCACACACTCTTCCCCAAATCCTCTCCCAGCCCTGGTGGACCTCTTGTCCCCACAGCAGCCGGAGGCCACTTCCTACCTTCTCCATGAGTGACTCTACAGCTTGGCGGGTCACCCAGCAGCAGCCACCAAAGGGCTCTCCCTCCTGGATGATGTCCCCTCTCTGGCTCCGGGTGTCATACTCCTCCTGGCACAAGTACTCTGGAAGTAACAGTGGGGGTGGGGGCATGTCACACACCCAGCTCCACAGGGGTCCCTGTAACCACAGCTTTCATCTAGAGGCAATTTTGCTCCCCAGGGTCACCTGGCAGAATCCAGAGGCAGCTTTCAGTTCTCACAAATGGTGGTTGGAAAGAGCCCTGTAACTGAGACTGAGGACCCTCCTGCAAACAGACCCACTGGAGATCCTCTAAATGCCTTCCCTTGGTCCTGGACCTGCACGCATCCTGGCTACTCACCCACCCAGCACACTGATCCAGGGCCTGCCAGCTGGCACAGCTTAGCAGTGCCTCTCCTCCCTGCTGGCATCTCTGCTGGCCCCAGGTGCCAGTGGCTGAGCTCCCCACAACCCCTAGCTGGGCCCTTCTAGCTGCCCTCATTCTGCCTTCAAGGTGAATTTGGATAGCACAAGCCTGGCTGTTTGTGGTCATTTTTGAAGCAATCCAACTCCCTGGATGCCATATGAAAATGCATATCTGCTCACTGCCACCCCAGCTTTCCCCAGGGCCACAGTGCAGCTGCTTAGCCTCCCTGTGCTCTGTGTCCTGGCCTTTGCAGGGCCTGAGGCTGCCCAGACTGCCTCTTCCACTTGTCTCTTCACCACCCCCAACCTAACCGTTTGATCCCAATTTAGCCCGTGTACCTCCCAGCGTCCTTCACTCCTTTTCTGGCCATTTTGGAGCTCATGGTGTGTTGGCTGGTCCCACCAGCCTTCCGTCCTATCTGTGCTCAGGCAACTGTTTTTCCCTTCCCCCTCCTCCTTTCTCCTGTCTGTCTGTCTGTCTGTCTGTGTCACACACACACACACACACACACTGGGGATTGTACCTAAGGCCTTTACACCGAGCTAGATAGCCTTTTATTTTAAGTCAGGGTCTTGCTAAGTTGCCCAGCCTGAGCTCAAACATGTGATCTGCCTTGGTCTCCCAGTGTTGAGAGCATGTGCCATCTCACCTGGCACTTCAGCCACCTGCTTCTAAAGCAGCTGGTGGGCCCCTGAGGGCCTCTTGCACTTAGTATCTTCAGAGCCTCTGCTCAGGTGAGGAACCTGCCGGACCTCACCTGCTCCTCTGTGGATGTCCGGAGCGGGCCAGGACCTCTTTACCCCAGGCCTAACCCAGCATCTGCCAGCTACGACTTCGTGCTGAACCTTCCTGCTGTGCTATCCTGGTAACCTGTGTGCCAGTGTGGCTGCTGTGGAGAACAGTGCCCTCCTTCACGTCTACCCTGATCTCCGCAGGGGCCTTAGGAGAAGCATGCATGCACATAGTCACCAGGTACAGCATACCTGCCGGGCACTGTTTAAAGCCTTGGAGGAGGCACAGCTTTCTGCTCAGGACCTTCCCAACCATCCTGGGCAAGACGATCACAGGTCGGGGCCGGCTGGGCCTGTGGGGGTGCACCAGGGTGTAGGGCGCCAGGGTGAAGCAGCTCTCTGCCCAGAAGCACACACTGGCATGGTCTGTGGAGGACAAGGGCATGCGCTCTAGGCAGCAGGCTGCGGCAGGGAGTGCGGCCAGATCTGCTGGGATGAGGCAGAGCACCAACAATAGACACCCTGAGCTCTAAACGGACAGAATATGCACTCTGAAACCACCGCCCATCTGGCGATTTCCTTGCACCGGTTGCTTAAATGCTCGGTGGCTTTTCAGGCCCAGGCTGCAGTTTATTACCTCATGCTTGTCTGGCTCACAGAAGGAGGGAAGGAGGCAAGTTTTCTCCTTCCCTAGAATATGAGAGCCACGCCCCCAGCCTCCCCTAAGGCCCGCCCATTTCACCAGCCCCACCCAACCTCAGCCCAACCCTTGCTTCAGCCCCACCCCGATTCTGTTCTCAGTCCCGCCCACCGCTCAGCCGCAGCCTCTTCAGCCCCGCCCTCTCCTGAGTCCTCTCAAGGGTACAGGCCCCGCCTCCCTCCCTCTGGATTCCTCCCTGGGCTGGGGAGATAGCTCAAGGGCATAAGCGCCTGCCTGGCAAGTCTAAGGTATGGAGTTCAATCCCCAGTTCCACCCACCCACACACATACACACAAAAGTCAATAGCCATCTTGTATTATGCACCAGAAAAAACCCAAAACATTTAAGGGAAACTTAAACTCAAAATGATCTACATTGCTCTAAATTCACTTCTATTCTTTATGCAGTTTTACCTGTTTGCTGAGGACTCTGTCCCTGTGACCTCTAGCACTGCCTTGTGCACGCACTGATCGCTCAGCATCCCAGGGCCCCCCTGGTTTTTATAAGATTGGACATTTGGCAGTTTTCAGGGTTTCCTAGTCCAGAAAGACTGTTGCTGATTTAATTGTATGGATGACTTCGGGACTGTTTCACCGGGACATGCTACAGGACCTAGAGCATCGGAGCTGGGGATAGAGCTCAGAGGTCCAACACTTACCTAGTGTGCCCCAGGCCCTGGATTCCATCCCTAGCACCATGGGAATCAGGGCAGGGATGAGAAGAAGGAAGGAAGGAAGGAAGGAAGGAAGGAAGGAAGGAAGGAAGGAAGGAAAGAAGGAAGGAAGGAGAAAGGGAAAGGTGATGAAAGAGAATTAATATGTATTCTGTACGTGCACCAACTAACTCCCCACAAGGAAGTTAATAATCATTATGTATTGCAAACACATAGTAATAAAATTGAAAAAAAGGGGGGAGGGGATTTTAACCAGGCATCGTGGCATATGCTTGTAATTCCAGCCCTTGAGACACTGAGGCAGTAGGACTGCAAGTTCAAGGCCACCCTGGACAACATGATGAGACACTGTCTCCAAAACAAATAAACAGAAATAGGGAGTAAGTTATTAAAGGACATCAAAAATAGGTTGCTCGGTTGCTGTCCAGAAAGGCCCATGGAGGTCAGTTATACTAGAAACAAAAACCACGCACTGCAGGAGAGGCCTCGCCTGACCAAGCTGACCACCAAAGGCCCTCCCTCACCTCCTGGGCCTGGTCCCCAGTGCCCACTCACCAGGCCTCACCTTCCACCCTGCTGGGGTCCAGCTGGCTCTCGTCAAAGGTGGACCTTGGGGAGCTGGCTTTGTCCACACTCACGATGCGCACCAATTTCTGTGGGCCCCTGGAAGACTACCAGAGGGGAGATGGGAGAGGCCAAGGAGGGCAGTTGAGGCCATCAGCAGCACTCACCCCATAAGAAAATCCATGTGGTGGTCCCTGCACTGTCAGACTATGCTCTGAACAGCCAGGATGCCCAGGTCCTGTACCAGGGCATAGGAGGCAGGAGAGGCTCCTCAAGAGATAGCCTCAGGTGGGCTCTGCAAAAGCCAGAGGGTGGCACAAGGACCTCAAAACCTAGCACTGCCGTGCTCCAGAGAATGCACACAGCACGGGGAGGGGGGGCACTCAGCAGCCTGCAGAACACCCTGTTCCAAGAACACAGGTGCCTGACCTCCAGGGAACTGAGAGGTGGGAGAAAACAGGCACGTAGGGTGGCCTGGGACACTTCACCCTGAAGCAGTGGCTTTGGGGAGCAGGACCCAACCTGCAGGCTGTGTGAGGGGTGCAGAGCTCAGCGAGGTAGGAGGGACCCGTGCAGGGATGGACGTCCACACCTTCCACATAGGACGCTAGTTAGAGCCTTCCATCCCACCCCAGGGGCCAGGCTTCTCCCCCCAGAGCCTCACCTTGCGGGTGACTGTGTGCTGCTGAGTCATGTCCTGGATGAGGGCGATGAGGCTCTGCTGGGCCCTGTGTGGACAGGAGGGGCCCTGACCCACTGCTAGACCTGCCTCGGCTAGGAGCACGGGGTAAAAGAAGTGGCCCCTGGAAGGGCTGCTCCCTCCTGGCAGCCTCAGAGTCTCTGGGGCTTGAAAAAGACACCAAAGCCTCAGCCCACTCCTCTGGATGCTAGTTGAACTGTTCAGAAGTGGCCCCAGGGGACTGTGATGAGCCACAAGGCTGAGGACCTCCTTGGGGGAGGGGGGAGCCTTAGTACTTGCAGTAGGGGAAAGGCCAAGAGCAGGCACTGCACACACAGGATTACAACCAGCCTCTCCTGGACTTGCTGCATCATATTCCCAGGGCACTCCAGTGTTAATAGAGAGGTGCAGGGTTCATGGCCTCCTCTGTGCATTTGGACCTCTGAGGTTCCCATCAGTTGTCTAGGATGATGCTTCAATGATGATCCCAGAGGTCTGAGCACTGGGCTTCGTTTGCCCAGGACAAAGGAATTACTCCCAATATGGAGTTTTCAGTCCTGGGCAAGCCAGGAGGATTGGTTTCTCCACTCCATGGAGACACTTAGGCCATCACAGCTGGGAACAGGTTGCTTCTGGCATCCAGGGGGTGTGAAGGCCAGGGACACTGCCAACACCATACCTGCAGTGCCCAGTACCCAACACCAGATGCCAACAGCACTGAGAGGCCTCCCTCTAGAATGACCTGACGGTCACAAGCACCGGGTCTGCAGCAGTGGTCATGGTGAGATTCCCCTCCTTGGGGTCTCTACCTCCCCTACACTTTGTTCCCTGGGCAGGAGGCTCTGCTACAGGGCGAGAAGCCTCCAGAGGCCCCATGGAGCCGGGCCTGGCAGATGTTATCCAATGTCCTCTTTGGGGACACAAAGTTGAGGAAAGCTGCTCACTGTGAGTAGTTGGGGATGGCACCGTGCTCTGCAGTCTTCATGGTGTAGGGGTTGACACGGTGTGCGTGCCAGCAGCTGCGGCTCTGGAACATGGTGTCAGTGACGTGCAAGACTTCATTGCAATATACCTGCAGCTCCCCTTCAGCTCTGCCCTGCAGGGCCAGGTTGACCCGGATGTAGAATGAGTCCCCTGAAGTTGTCACTTTGGTCTCCAGGTCCTGGACCAGCTTCTTATAACCTGATTTAAAAAAGAAAGAAAGAAAGAAAAGCAAGAAGGATCCAGATATGGTGGTGCATGCCTATAATCCCAGCACTCAGGAGGTTGAGGCAGGAGGATTGTTGCAAGTTTGAGACCTGCCTGGGCTACAAAGTGAGCTCAAGGCCAGCCTCTACTGTGTAGTGAAACACTGTGTCAAAAATACAAAAATTAAAAAATAAACCAAGAAGGACTAATGAGCACAGACCCTAAGCCCACACAAGGAAAGTTCTAGAAGGTTAATGTGGGAGGGAAAGAAGCCCCTCCCCCAGGTCTCAGAAGCTCTCTGTGGTGCTAAAGTTAACAAGTGGGGTCTTGCAGCCATCTTGGGGGCCTCAGGGATGGAAAGCACATTGGCTGGGCTGCTCCTGCTTGTGGTGGGCCGGGGGTGGCACAGCAGGGGCTGAGATCAACTGGACAAGAGGCGCCTGTACCCTCAGTGTTGACCTTCACAGACAGGCAGCAGAAGCCGGTCACTCTTTGGAGGAGCCTGACTGCCTGCTCCAGCGTGGTATTCTCCAGGGCAGCCTTGAATGAGGGTGCTGATGCCTCGTGGTCCACCTGAGAGCAAAGTGTGAGGGCAAGGGTCCTGGTGACAAGGACTCTACAGTCACAGCATGCATTCAGGATGCTGGGGGAGGGGTTTTGGGGGAGGGGAAGGCAACTGATTGTAAAACCTTCAGGCTGTCCCCGGCCACCATGTGCCCTGGCCAAGCACAGAAGTGTGGTCAGGGCCCTAGCCACAGACCACATGCCAGGACAGCTACAGAGTCTGCAAGCCGCGTTGATGCCCACCAAACATCTCTGCCTCAGAGCCATTGCCCATCCTCTCCCTCCTCCATGGAGGACAGCTCTGTGACAACCATCTCTGTCTCTTGGGATCAAACCCAGGGTCATCACACTGAATTTGGCCCCAGCACTTGTTAACTTTTTTTAACATCTTGAGACAAAGTTTCACCAAGCTGTTAAGTTGTCCAGGCTGGGTTTGAACTTTTGACCACTTTGCCCCAGCCTCCCAGAGTGCTGGGATTACAGGTGTGCACCACCACACCCAACTCATGTGTCAGGGAGTGCACACTTCCCGTCAGCCCTAGACAGAGCCGAACATCAGGACAGCACACCTGCCCCTGTGGAGGGCCTGTGGGAGTCCTGGCTGCTCAGGCCTTGCTCGCTCACCATAACAATCTGGGTGCCTGGGCGCAAGGCCATCTCATCTGCTGCTGATCCTGGGGTGACCCGGTGAATGAAGATGCCCGTGAGGTTTCCACCAATGACACTAATCTGCTCCAGCAGTGAGGCCCCGTGGAACGCCAGCACTGTAACCTGACTCAGGATCTTGCGCGCTGGCCGTCGCCGCACAGGGATGGTGCTACAGGGACAGAGGATGGCTAGGCACTGTCCAGACAGGTGTCAGACAAGGCCATTCCCATCACCGCCGCTGTCCTAGCCTCTGAAATTCTCCTTCCAACCATGACCCATATTGAAAAGGCTCCATAGTGGGAGAACACAGTCACACTCTACTCCACTTCCAGGCTCCGGCAGCAGGAGGGTTCCCAACATGACTCACCTTTCTGAGATGTCAAGGCTTCTGGAAGAGCACTGTGGGCTGCCCTCGGACTCGGAGAGGTCTGGGAGGGAAACAGAAGTGGAGTGGCGCCGACTCTGAGTCTCCCCACCACTACCTCCACTAACCTTACACGGCCTCAGCCCTCCGCTTTGGCCTCCAGCACCCGTGCCCAGCCATCTCTTCCACTGAGACTAAATGTTCTCTTCCTCTTCCCTTCCCTCTGTGCATAGCACCTGATTTCACTGCACCTTGCCTGAGATCAGAGTACTGAGATCTGCATGTGCTCTTTTTTGTAATGTGTTTGGTTGTTGCAGGGTCTCGCTATGCAGCTTGGACTCATGGTGATCCCCCTGTTTTCAGTCTCACCAGCGCTGGGATTACTCTGGCTGGCTCAACCCACCCTGGGGGTGGGGCAGGCACAGCATGTGGTGACGGGGATCAAACTGAGGTCCCTGCACTTGCTTAAGCTTACCTAAGCAGGTGCTATCTCACCAGCCCCTCTCTCTGTGATATTTTAATGAGCTGCCAATATCTTCAAAGATAGGAAGAATCCTAGAATCCGAATTTCTTTTTTTTTTTTTTTTTGGCAGAACCGGGGATTGAACTCAGGCCCTTGTGATTGCCAGGGAAACACTGAGCCATCTCCCCGGCTCCTAGAATCTGGATTTCATTTAAAAACCTAACCTGGCACGATGTGGGCCTGTACCCCTGCATGGGCCTGAACGGCAGCAATCCCTGGCCCAGGGGAGCCCAGGCCCCAGCTTGTTAATCACAATCTGTGACCTAGGGCAGGGAGCAGCTCACACAGCAGCCCATGGCTGTGCTTCTCACTTGTGAACTGTCTGTGAGAACCAGGCGGCCCGCGCTCGGCTCAAAGGCAAAAATCCATTCAGAGCAAGTAAGCCAGGCATGGAGGCACATACCTGTCATGCCAGCATTCTAGGAGGCTGAGACAGGAGGACTGCAAGTGCCAGCCCAGCCTGAGCAACTTATGGTGACCTTGTCTCAAAATTAAAAAAATTAAAAAGGGCTCTGGATGTAGCTTAGTATAAAGGTTTTGTGTTCAGTTCCCAGAACCAGGGGGAAAAAAAGAATCATACACTCTGCATATATTCAAGGTCATGTCCCACTATCAGAATGTTAAACCAAGACATTATACAGAATCTCAACAGTAGAAAAATAAAGAGGAATAAGCCCTCTCCATTTGTGATCTTACATCCAAGCCTTTTTTTTTTTTTTTTTTTTTAGATAGGATGCTGCTTTGTAGTGCAGGCTGATCTTACCGCAAACTTGCAGCGGTCCACCCGCCTCAGCCTATCCAGGGCTAGGACTCCAGGCGTGCACTGCGCCAGCACACGTGGTTTAGGCTAATTTGCCTTGAGTGGGCACTCTTAATTTGTCACTATTAGCAGTAAAAATGTGCATGGGTCTGCAGGAGTTGAGGTTTCTGGTCACATGACAGCCTCCCTGCACCCTAGGTTAAGGGCACAGAGCAGTGTCAGGTGCCTGTGCCCCTTGGTGGCCAAGAAGCAGATTCCAGGTGGGAAGTAAGCTGGAGCCATGTGTGCAGTGGTAGAAAAGGTAAAGAGACTACACCCAGAGGCCTCTGGACTGGAGGAGGACCAGTTCCAATCACAGGTTCAAGGAAATAAACCCCAGGAGATATGTAAGGCTCAGGGGCCAACATCGGAGAAGACGGGTGCTCCTGGTGGGTGGTCGCCCTCCTGGGCCACTGTGTCTGCTGGCAACCTCTGATCCCTGAACCTATTATCTCCAGATATACTGGGAGGCCCACAGAGGGGAGTGCCAGGAAGGGGACAGAAATGTCTGCAGATATCTGATCTCATGTGCTGCGCTGGCCATGGCTAAGAATACAGCTCCCTTGCTGTGAATTCTAGGTTAAAAAACAAAGACACAGCAAACTTGAACTCAGGATCAAGCCACCAGGCAGTCTGGTTTTCCCAGGGGCTAAGGTCAAGGCCCACAGGGAGGGGTCCTGTTCTCTTCTACCTGCCAGGCTATCTTATCTGCAACCTGGACACACCAGCCCTCACCTTCCCTGCTCCAGAGAGGTTCAGGGGGCTGCGGAGCACCTACCAGCCTCATCAAGGATCTCATAATCCAGTTCTGTATCATCCGCTTTAGCACCCAGAGGGATTCCTGGGTCCACCTCCAGGATTTCTGGGAAGCTGCTGTGAAGCACAGGAAGCAGTTCAGGCTGTATGCCTGGAGCCGCCAGCACCTTCCTGAGCACCTGCATCCAACACCCCATCAGTCCAGTTTGATTTAGTGACCCCCCCCATAAGTTATGTCCCACTCTACCTTAAAAGCTCTGGGTCTTCCCGGAAGACCTCTGCCATCCGCTTGTACAGGGACTGCTGGCTCGGAGGCACAGGGCTGCTGGAGCGGAAGCTGTCCGCCGGATCACGGCTGGATGTGGCACTCAGGTCCCACCAGAGCTGGGCCTGGAGGAGGATAGTGGAAAGCAGATCACAGAGGGAGCCAGGTGGGAGGGGAAGGGAGAGTGTATGCACTGAGCACTCACTGTGTGCCAGGGCTTTAGGGCTGCTTTCCTCCCTAATATTGTGGAATCCCAGGAGACCTCTCTGATGTGGGCACTAGGGTCCCAAAACATGTGTAAAGCAAATGAGGCCCAGAGCGGCAGAGCCAGTGACTGGTGAGGGGAGGAGCAAGAGCCCTGTGGAGGGCGGCTGTGGCCACAGCAGGCAGAGTACAAGTGGATCCAAATCCACTTCCTGAATCTGTGTGCCAGGTCTTTGCCAATGAGGACATGTGTCTGACGATAGGCACTGTGCCTTGGGTGGGGGAGCCGTGGGTAAAGAGAGACTAGTGAGTGGAGTCTGTCATACCAGGGGTGGGGGTGATGCTGGCAGGGCCAGAAGGCCAGGCAGACTTCTGGAATAAGTAACACAGAGGAGCCAGGTGTGTGTGGCATGTTCCACACAAAGTGACCACACTGCAGGGAGCCAGGGGGAGCTCCTAGAGTGTCCAGACTGTAAACCTCATGATGGAGAGAGGTCAGGAGCGGGGGCTCGAGAGGGCGCTGATCTGCATCAGTGGACGCTGAGGTGAGCTCAGGGTGAGCCACACGCTGCGTGGGCCTGCGATCCCAGCTATGTCCCCAGGCCTTTGAAAATGTTTTATCTTGAGACAGGATCTCACTAAGTTGCTCAAGCTAGGTTCAAACTCCTGCTCTTCCTCCTCAGCCCCCCTACTGGTGTGTCTCCCTGCAACCAGCCTGACAGTTTCTGAGAGGAAAGGAATTTGGATACAGACACAGGGTAAAACATTGCTTGAAGAGGGAGTCAGAGACCAGAGGATGCAACCACAAAGGAACATTGTGAAGAGCGGTCAGAAGGAGGGAGAGGCCAGAAGCGCATCCCCTCCCCTAAAGCAATCAGGAGCTGCTGCCAGGCCCAGGGTGGAGGGAGACTGCAGAAGTCCTGCACAGGCACATCCTGGGCTACACACACAGGAGGGACATGAAGGCAGAAGCCACGTACCTCAGTGGAACCCTGGAGGCTGTCACTGTCATCCCTAGGGCACACAGCATACATCCGCGCCAGCCTCTGCTTCCCCCGTGGACAGGGTGCCCTGGCCTCAGTTTCCTGCTTGGGCTGCCAGAGATGGCCAGACAGGCTGGTGAGTTCAGGGCACAGGCTCCCCTGGGATTCTGGGAGCGTTTCCCACCACATCACACATGCCCTACCATGCCCCCTTCACCCCCACTCTAGGCAGCCTCCTCTCATCAACATCCAGGTAAAACAGTTCTGTCCCTGTCCTTGGAGCAGGGAACTACAGGGTCATAGTACCACCTATCAAAGTAGCTGGAGACCACTAGCTTGAGAAACAAGGTTTCATTTCTTTTAGTGAATGTATACTGTCATTTGCTAGTTATAAAAATAAAGCTTTCCTGTCTGGAGAGATAGCTCAGTGGTCTATGCAAGGCTCAGTGCCTGGCAGTTGCAAGGTCCAGAGTTCAATCCCCGGTACTACATGCCGTGCTGGGCCCAGAAACCAAGAACTGCCGTGCTGAACCTGAAACCAGGTGTGGTGGCGCACCCTTGTAATACCAGGACTGGGGAGGCTGCGACAAGAGAATCACTACAACTCTGAACTGCATAGTGAGACCCCAAAATAAATAAATCAAAAATAAATAAATAGTAAAGCTTTCTACATCAACATGAAAGGTGAAAGTGAAATACAACCAATTAGAAAAGAAAATTCACCCTTCACCCCACACTGAGGATTGATTGGCACAGCTTGCATTTGGTATCCTCCTTTCTTGATACACACACACACACACACACACACACACACATCATGCACAATATAAATACTTTGAGCATAGTCAATGTGGGTTCTGCCTGTGGGGGTGCAGAGGCAGGGCCAGGATGACCCCTGCAGGGAAGGGAGGGTCCACAGTGGCCCCCACCCAGGGCCATACAGCACTTACCTGAGACGTGGGTTCTGCCTGCAGCTTGCGCAGCTGAGTGCGCAGCTCGCAGACCTGGTCCGTGAGCTCAAACACTTTCCTACGGAGGGAGTCCTTCTCCAACAGGCTCTGGGAAATCTCCATCTGGGCTCCATCCCTCGCAGCATAAGCCTGTGGTCCCAACAGGACAGACAGGACAGATGCTGGGGGAGCGTGAGGGGCCAGGGTGGTAGAGCCCAGGGGGCCTCAGCTACAGAGAGAGTCCCACTGTCAGCGTTTACCGTGAACTCCCCTAACACGCACTAACCAGAGCTCACACCAGGAGGTACAAACCTACAATCCATTTTCATTTACAAATGTCATAAAGTTTTTTTGTCTTCCCAGAGTTGAGATTGAGTCCATTTCTCTGCTACTGTGCTGTGTCCCAAGCACTTGCCTTTTTGAAGTTGGGGCCTTGCTAAGTTAGTTGCCCAGGCAATATTCAAACTCACTATCTTGCCTCATCCTCAACAGTGCTGGGATTGCAGGCAGCTCGACCACTGCACCCAGCTGTACGTGGTTTTTTAATAAAACTTGCTCTTGGGGGTGGACTGTCCCAATGTCCTCTGCCAGGTATCTGTCAGGGAGAGCGGCAGAACACATCACCAGAAGACAGGATGGGGGAGTTAAGAACCCTCATGGGACCAGGAGAAGAGGCCCTGAAATCTGGAACCAGTGACCTTCAAGGACAAGTAGAGCTGAGACTTCCTCAAAGCAGCAGGCTTCAGACCCAGTATGGGGCAGGGGCTTCTCAAGCTGAGACCCAGCAGGGGCAGGTACTGTGTGTCCTCCCCAGCCCTGCCCGGTATTCCTTCCAGGGTCACCTGGTCACGCTCCTTCTGCAGCTCAGCCACCTGACCCTGAAGTGTGCTCATCTTCTCCCTGTACAGCTCACAGTCCACCTGCGTCTTCCGAAATTGCAGCAGGGTCTGCTCTTTCTCCTCCCAGTACTGCACAGAAGAGACCCAACCCACCATGGAGTCAGTGGCTCTGCAGGCAGGGGTAGGGGTGGGCGACTCCAGAGGTGGAAGGAGGCAAATTCCTCCTTCCTGTAGGGCCAGGCTTAGAGGAGCATTCACAGGGCTTGCCAACTGCATTGAATTCAATCACTGAAATGTGCATCTATGTTGCATGCAGAGTTGTGTTTTATTTAATGTTCTCAAATGCACAGCTAATTTCCCCCACCCTGTTTTATTCTCTTCCCCTGCCTCCTTTCTTTCCACCCTCCTCTCCTCTACATCCCTGGTTCTTACAGGGCTCCCTCACCCCTTAAAATCATCCAGGTTTCCAGCCCTTTGTCTGTGACCTCTAATCTGGGCTGTGAGTTGGTGCTCACTACTGAGCAACAGCTGAGCAGACTAGCAAAGTTATTGTATCTCAATGTGTCAGAAAGATCTTCCTACCCTAAACACAGGCCAGCCCCTGAGACAAACGGTCCCCAGGGCCCAGGAAGGGAGCCGCAGCATCACCTGCTTCCGCTGCCTCTCTGCAGCCACAGCCCGCTCGCGCAGTGAGTGGATGCGGGCCACCAGCTCCTGCTTGCTCTCCAAGGCCTCGTCCAGGTTTTGCTCCAGAATGTCCTTCTCCGCCTGGTCAGAAAGAGGTCAGCTCAGGACTCACCCTCCCCAGATGCCTCTGCGGAGAACTGGCCCTGAGCATCCAGCAGAGGGGACTTCAAGGCAGAGCGCGTGGGTGGATAGGGTCGCTTAACACCAATCAGGCGTGATAAAGGCCATGGAAAGGCAGGGCTTCTGATCAGACATGGTCAGAGAGGTGTAATAGAAGCTAGAAACCTCTTGGGATGACAATTCTTCCTTTAAGACCTTCTGGGGGGGCATTACAGCACGCTTGTAATCCCAGCAATCGCAGGCTGCGGCTGGACAATCACAGGAAGTTTAAGATCATTCTGGACTACACAGTGAATTTAAGCCTGCACTACAAAGCAAGATCTTGCCAAAAAAAAAAGCCACTCTAACCTCCTTCAGGAACGTACCAGCTGAGAGGAAAAACACCAAAGGACAGGTCCTCCTTGTCTCCACCCACGTCCCAGAAGGACCGGGAGGAATGATGGCACAGTCCAGCCTCCAGGTGGGCCACGCCCAGGGCCCCATGAATGTTTCCATTAATGGAACTTCTCACTAAATAGGTAGTTATTGAAAGGAGCAGAAGAGGAATTTGCAAGTTAGGCATGGTGGTGCACGCCCAACACTCAGAAGGTTGAGACAGGAAGATTGCAGCAAGTCTAAGGCCAGCTGGGTTACATAATGAATTCAAGGCCAGCCGGAGCTATAATAGTGAAACCCTGTCACAAAAATCAATCAATACATCCATCAATCAATGGTTTGCATAATCCCAGGCTTCAATGTTGCCAGTTCCTCTACTCCTAGTAATGCTCAGGAGAGGGCAGGAGAGCAGAAAGCCCTCTGGGCAGCGCGGTTTCTTTTCCCTAATCGCATCCTTCATGGCTGGCCCAATCTTGTCCAAAACCTCATGGCAGCAGGGAACAGGCCAAGGAGGACATGCTAATGCACATCCAGCCACTGTCTGGAGGCTGGGGAGGACAGAGGATGGCATGCATTTCACTTGTCAGAAGTCCAGTGACCCGGGGGCCACCTGCTGATTCATGGTGAGGACAGTCCCAGCCAGCGCCCAGGCCAGAGGGACCCGTAGCCTACCAGGCTGAAGGTCAGCGAGCGCAGCTTTTCGTTCTCCTCCTTCAGGCGGCTCAGCTCCTCGTCCCCTGACTCCAGGTCGCTGGCCATCTTCAGGGACCTCTCTCGGAATTCCCACTCACAGGAAGACACCATGTCCACCCGCTGCAGCTCCTGCCTCACCAGGTACAGCTGTCCAGGGAGGAGGAAGGGAGACAAGGTCAGTGTTTTGCCCCTAAAGCTGAAGCCCTGTAGATTCTCCAGCCTCCTGCCAATGGGGTGCTATTCAGACACAGGGGTCCCACCCCAAGATTTCTGAATAAATCTCGTCAGGCATAATAGCACAGGCCCATAATCCTAGCTCCGTGGGAGGCTGAGGCATGACAATTGCAAATTCAAGGCCAGTCTGGGCAATTTAGCGAGATCCTGTTTCAAAATAAGTTTTAATGGACTGCCAAGCCAGCCCGCCCCCAGGGGTGTGCTGAGACAGCCACTGAAACTGGGCATGGTGGCATGCGCCTGTAATCCCAGCTCTTGGGAGGCTGAAAACAGGAGGATTACTATAAATTTGATCTGTGTAGTGGGACCCTGTAGATCCTACATTAGTCCTTAAAAAAAGAAATCTGTGATGTAGTTCAGCGAGAAAGCCTTAGATTCCACCCCTAGTACTCCAAAATTAAATAAATATTTATAGGTTAATACATTCAATGAATAAAAGTCTACCCAAGGGTGGTTTTTACCCAATGAACAGTCCCAATCCTCAATGGAAGGGAAAGATAGTTTAGTTTTATTTTGTAGATGAAGTATAGGGGTTAAACTGCCTTGTGGGCTGCTCCAGGTGCCCAGCTCCTCTATCTTTCTGGTCAAACTGACAGTCACCAGCAGCCAGTGGCAGTTAGCTAGCATGCTCCCTGGCTTCACAGTCTTCCACATTCTAATCATATGTAGGGACTCAGGCTCATGAAAATCAGTAAAGAAAAAAAACAAAACAAAAAAAAGAAAAATAGCGGGGCTGGAGAGATGGCTCAGTGGTCTAAAGCACCTACTTGGAACAAGCTCGGCAAAGCACAGGGACCGCGGTTTGATCCCCCAGCACCACATGCCAGCCAGCCGCGCCCCCTGGTGGGCTGAGCTGGACACACACACACACACACACACACACACACTAAATAAATGTAAAAAAAAAATTTATAAAAAAAAAAAAAAGAAAAGAAAAATAGCGAGTGAGAACAAGAGTGAGAGTGTCAAACCAGCAGGAGAGGGGAAGCTGGGGAAGACAGGACCTGGCCAGCTTAGACAGGTACTGACACAGGTGACGCAAGTGTGAAGCTACTCCAGACGCTCAGCAGGACTGAGCAAGTGAGCAAACTGTGGAAGAGCTATATTCCTGAGGTGCACACTGCATGTTATGCATACATGTGCATGTGTTCATGTAGGTACATGTGGATTTGTCTGCTTCTACATGTGTGCATGTGTACAGTGCACTTTGATATGTACGTATATATGTGGCTACACATGGACATATATGTGTACATGTACATTTATACACATATGTGCACATGTACATACAGGTATGCATTCATATGCCTGTGTGCATGTGTGTGTATGAACACACATGTGTATTTGTACATGTGTCTCCTGATCTATTTGATGAAAGGGCCAAGTACCCAGATCCTGCTCTCTGAAGGATCTGAGGTGCTGGGGCAGGGTGGGGACAAGAGGACACTGGAACTTCTTGGATGCTAGAAGAGAAGTCAGTGCTCAGAAGACAAGAGGGGCATGTCACAGGACCTGGAGCAGGCGCAAGGGCTCCCACTGTGAACACCGGAGCATAACCTCATTAAGGATGGAAACACACAGGCCGCTGGAAGATAAGGATCCTGAGTCTGTGCCGACAGCAGGTAGCACAGTGGCGGAAGGAAGGCACTTCCCCCAGTTGAAGCTGAGGCCAGCTGCAAGCGCAGGGGGACCTGGTACCATGGGCAGCACTGGCCACCCGCCTGGGTCTAGGTGGGTTCAGGCCAGAAGCAGCCCAGTTAGGTCTGGGGGAAAAGCCAGTGAGCAGCCGACGCATGCAGGTCTTAAAGCACGTCCCTCACATTGCTGACTTGTGCAGGAAGGGGTTTCTGTGGTACAGCAATGGGCAGCTCTCTGCGCAGACAGTCTACAGTAACATCCCCAGGGGCAAAAGGGCTTCCCGCATCCCTGAGGCAGGACCAGGCCAAAGACACAAAACCTCTACCCAATCAAACCCCAAATGAGTGGTCTGTTACAAAGGCAGATCAGGTGTGCTGGCCACACCTGTAATTCCAGCACTTAGGAGGCTGAGGCAGGAAGATTGCCATGAGTTCAAGGCCAGCCTAAACTACACAGTGAGGTCCTGTCTCACACAAACAATAGCATGGGTAGAGGGCTGTATTCTTCAAAAACATCCATCTTGTAACAGACAGGGAAAGGCTATGGAATGTTTCAGATTGAAGGAGGCCCAACAGGCAGCCTGGCCAATAACATGTGACTCTGGGCTGGAGAGAGAGAAAGAGAGAGAGAGAGTGCCCCAGGGCAGGACTTAGGTCAGTGATAAAATAGGAAAACAAACTGTAAATTAGGAGAAAAGATTAAATCAATGCAGAGTGATGGCATTGATAGCTGTGATTATATAAGAGCACATTCTATTTTTAGGGAATATACATTGAAATCTGGGCATAAAGTGCCATGAGGTATGTAACTCAAGGGATGCTGGGGAAAATGTGTGTGTGTGTGTGTGTGTGTGTGTGTGTGTGTGTTGTGTGCAGAGACAGAGACAGGATAAATAAACATGAAAGTAAGGGTATGTAAGTGTTCTTTGTATTATTTTAATTTTTAAAAATAAATTTACGATTATTCATAAACAAAACTTAAAATTCAAGGGCTGGCAAGACTAAGTGAACTAAGTGCCTGCTTAGGCAAGCGCAAGAACTGGGGTTCAATCCCTGGCACCACCTGCCGCACTGACCCCGCCCCTGGGCACACTGAGCTGGCCACCGAGACTGGGCATGGTGGCGCACACTGTACCCCAGCACTGGGGAGCCTAAAACAGGAGGTTCACTACAAGTCCAAGCTGCATAGTGAGACCCTATACCATATACCTAAACAAAACAAAAAAATCCTTAAAATTCAAAAGCAAGCAAAGAGCCAGGTGTGGTCCATGCCTGCAGTCCTACTTCCAGAGAGGCTGAGATAGGAAGATCACAACTCAAGCCTAGCCTTGGCAACCTAGTGATTTGGCAAGGACCTGTCTCAAAATAAAAGACAAAAAGGACTGAGGATGTAGCTCAGAGTAAGGCCCTGACTTTACTCCTTAGCATAACAATAAGTAAATAAACAGATAAATGTAAACAGCATTTTTAAAATTGTATTTGGTTGTTACAGGGTCTCACTACACAGCTTGGACTCCTAGTGATCCTCCTGTTTTCAGCCTCCCCAGTGCTGGGATTACAGGTGTCCGCCACTATGCCCTAATTCTGTGGCTGGCTCAGCCTGCCCTGGGGGCATGGGGCTGGCATGGTATGTGGTGCCAGGGATCGAACCACAGTTCCTGTGCTTGCCTAAGCTTGACTAAGCAGGTGCTTTAGCCCACTGAGCTATGTTGCCAGCCCCATGAGCAGCATAATTAAAAGCAAAGAGCACAGGGCAAAATGAGGATGTACATCCTTGATATTTAAAGGCTCTTATAAGCTGATAGGAAGTTCTATTACCCTGGCAGAAAACAAGTGAAACACCTAACCCAGGGCGAGGCCTGATTTGCAGATGTCCTTATCCTCCTGGCCTGAGAAGGACTAAGGTGGGTCTTAGGGAGGGACTGTCCCTATGTCCCTGCACAGCTGTAGCAATGGCTCACAGGTGGGCCTAGGGATATGGAGCTTAGACTAGCCAGATCATTTCCAGAATCTATGGCTAGCCAGGTTGTGGGCAGTCATGGGCAACTATGGGGCAATGCAGGGCGACCCAGGTGACCTCCTGGAGAGAAGTGGGGTCCACTTCTGGCAGGGGCCTCGTCTATGGCTGTGAGACAGGGGCTGTCAGACAAGGAAGAGGGTACACAGCTGCACCAGCACATGCAGAGGAGCATGGTCAGGCTGGGCCTTCCACCTGCGGGTGCCGGGCATCCCACTACCTCCTCCTGCAGGCTGCGGCAGCGAGAAGTGGCCAGTTCCTTCTCCTGCAGCGCGTTGCTGTAGCGCAGGGAGAGGATCAGCAGCTCGTCCTTCAACTTCAGCACCTCATGGAAGTGGGCGCTGGCCTCGTGCTTCAGGCGACTGTGGTCAGACTCCAGCTGGCGCAGGCCCTCCACGTGAGCCTCGGCCAGGCCCAGGCGCTTCTGCAGCCGCTGGCACTGCCGCAGTAGCAGCTCCTTCTGGGATTTCTCTTGGGCCAGCTCCTCCTGCAGGCTGCCAATGGCCCCGGCCAGGCACGCAGTCAGCTTTGACGTCTCCATGAGGCCTGCTGGGGAAACCTGTGGGTGGGCTGAGGTACTGCCACTCTGCCCCCTGTCCCTGGCTTACTGTGTCTTTGAGTCTTATGCTCAGACCCATGCAGCGTTAACCCATTTGGCTCCAGCCTCAGCTGGACCTTGTAATTTGGTTAATAGCATGGTGTGACTTGCACACCGGGATTGCTCCCCTCCTGCTTCCATGAGAGCTGACTTTTCAGAGCCAGCCCCCTACTCACAGGCTGAGATGCACCTGAACCTAAATCATTCTTTTTCACTTAATTTTTGCATGGACCCAGGGCCTCACACATGATGGGCAAATGCTCTATCACAGGGCTACACGCCCAGCCATTTTTATTGAATTTTCAGTTGGAGTCTTGCTAAGTCATACAGGCTGGCTCTGAATATTTTTCTTTTTGTCTTTCTGAGACAGGTTCTCACTATGCAGTTCAGGCTGGCCTTGAGCTCACTTTGTATCCCCAGCTGGTCTCAAACTCACAAGGATCCTCCTGTCTCAGACTCCAGAGATTACAGGTGGGTACCACCATGCCTGGCTTATTGGGGGTTTTTGGGTTTTTGGGGGGTTTTTGCTTTGAATTTTTGATTCTCCTGCCTCAGTTTCCCACATGGCAGGGATTACAGGTGTGCACCACCATGGATAGTTAAAACTAACTCATCAATGCCATCCCCAGGGAAACAACTAACATCTGAATCTGTGTGACCACAATCTAACATAGTATAAGGCCAAAGAGAAAGGGAGGACGTGTCACCCAGTGTTCTGCACACTGTGAGCGCTGCTCTTTACCTACATCCTTCAACAGCACCAGCCCCACCGCAGTCTAAAATCACTCAATTAACAAAAATGGCCTCATCTTTCCCCAGGCAGGCAGAGCATCCACTTGGCTGAGGGTGCCAAAGTGCAGAAGGCTCCAGTCCCTTTTCCTGTGAGAAGGGGCTCGGGCTCCTGGGGCTGGGATGCTGGGACGGCAGCTGCCTCTGGAGCAGGGGAAAGCTTGGCCTGCACCTCTGGAATGCAGACCAGCCCCTGTGTGCCCCTGTGATACTGGGAGAGTAAAGGAAGACCCTGTAAAACCTGAGGGCTGGGCTCCTTCTCCTGCTTGCCCTATGAGGTGAGTGGGGGAGTACCAGCTCAGGCCAGTACCCCTGCCTGGAGGGAGGCAGGAGGACCCCGGACAGCAACGGCAAGGCAGGCCCCCAGACTCCAGGACAACCCTGCCCACTCTTTCGGAGGCCAAGTGGCTCACCGCTGAAGTTGCTGAAGTCCACATCTGGCTGCAGTCCAGTGACCAAGGTGTAGATATCGGGGTTGTGGAACTTCAGGCTCTCCAGGAAGGCAATGGCCCCATTCTTCCCTCGAGTCTTCAGCAAGTCCAGCAGGTGCCCTTAGGAGAGAGGGGAGCACCACCCATGAGCCAGCAAGGCTGCAGAGCACACTAGGGCTAGGCTGGCTTCCCATGGGGAAGGTCGGGAGTAGAGATGCATCTGGGAATGAGGGTGAAAGAAAGTAGGATTCCTGGGCAGGCTGGGCCCTCTCCGCTCTTGTAAAGTCCATCAAGTGATTCAGTCAGCTCTAGGAGACCAAGTTCACATTTACTGGACCGCTATCATGAGCAACTCAGGATAAAGACATGGACAGATACATGGTCCCAACACCATACTGAGAGTGACCAGTGCCACGAGGAAATAGCAAACAGCAGCCCATGAGGCCCCAGAGAGCTGGGTGGATCCAAGACCCTGGGTCCAAATCCCACCTGCTCAGCTAGAAGCAAGCCTGGATGAATCTCTCCCACACGGGAGGTTCATGGCTCAACACGCACTCATTATAACGTTGAGAGCTACCACTTCCTGTGTAGTCTACGCTCGCCATGAGCACCCCCAGATCTGGAAGAATAAAAGCAGCCTGAAAGAGCATGGAAACTGACTCCAAGGCTTCTGCAGTGGCCTGAACAGCACCCCTCCCCCACTCCCTACCAAAGATGTGAATTTCTTTGGAAAATGGATATAATTAAGTTAAAGGTCTCAGGCAACAACCCATTGGGACCCTTCTTGTCTATCAGGAGATATTCCTATTCTCCATTCCTTTTCTCCATATATTTTCCTACAAGGAAGGAAGGAAGGAGAGGCTCAGAGCAAGAGATGATGTGGTCTCTTAGCTCAGTTATACCGGATAGCTGAAAGAGTGAAGGCACACAGACAACTCCTGCTTTGGGAACCTGAAACATTTTGAATGGAGACCTGGCCAGCTCTGTGACTAAGGAGCAGTACTCTTTGGGGAGAGGAGAGGATGAGTACTGTGGAGGAGACTGGGGCAGGGCCCAGGAATGAGGCAGGACAGATGCACAGGTCTGCTGCTCTGTAGCTTGAATCTCCCCTCTGCTCTGCAGGTAAAGCCCCAACTCCTTGATGTGATCGTGCAGCCTCCTTTGCCTTCACTTTCCGTGCCTTATTCCTTCCCTGTGCTGAGAGCTTTTCTCTAAGAACCTCTTTGCTGTATGCTCTGTGTCTGTATGATGTGGGTGCTGTTGTTAGTGAAATAAAATTGGAAATAAGGAAACGCCTAAAGATCTCAAGACAAGATTGTCGTGGCTATCCAGGTGGGCCCTAAATCTAGTGCCAAGTGTCCTTAAGTGATGGAAGAAGAAATGACAGAGAGATGAAACCCATGTGACGACGGAGGTAGAGACTATAGCAGTGTGGTCACCGGCCAAGGAATACCTCGAGTGCCCAGGGCTGGAAGGAACAGGAAGGACACTCCCGTAGCCCTTGGCAGTGAGTGTAGCTATGCCAGTGCCACAGCCAGAGACTTCCGTCATTGGAAACTGAGAGAACATATTGCCATGTGGCTTCTCCCCACATGATGCTGGCCATGGAACCCAAGACCCTGCACAGGAAGAAAGCCCTGCCACCAGCCTATGCTGCAGTTCCAGTGCTGTTGTTTTAAAGACCACACTGTAGTCATTTGTTGGGGTGGCCATAGGAGACTAAGGCAGTGTCCCCTTCGTGGTGAAGTACTGTGCAGCGAGAGCCGGGGCGGCTGGCTGGGACTCACCAACTCTCATGGCGCTGTTGGTAAAGCGGGGGCTGTGCAGGATCTCCTCTTCATCCAGCTGGCCCAGAACCTTGGCCTGGCGTAGGTAAGGGGTGAGGCGGCTGGGGTGGATGCTCCGCACGATCCTGTAGCGGTGGCTTTCCATCATCTCCCACAGCGCGTCCTCATCCAGGGCCGTCAGCGTGGAGTCTGTGCGGCACAGTTCCGCCATGGCTAGTGCAGGGCGGGCTCTGGTAGCAGACTGTGAGGAACCAAAGGAATGGCCTCGGCGGGCTGGATTTCCATTCAAATCCGCTTTCGCAATTTTCTGGAAGGGAAGGGAACAACTCTGAGGGCACAGTGGACATCCCCAGAGCAGCCTCTCTGCTTCCACCCTGGTGCTGGTGTCACGACCAGTGAAGCACACAAGCATCCTTGGGTCAGGTGTCAGGCCTAGTCCCCTCCCCGTGGCACAGTGACACCATCCACCTGGTGTTAGCAGACTGGGTTTGCCTTTCTGCTGGTCCTGGTCAGGGACCTAACTGATCCAAGGAGCTTGATGTTAACAATGAGAACAGGAGCACTTGCCTGGCATGCCTGAGGCCCTGGGTTTGATCCCTAGCACCAAAAAAAGTCTCCCACACTCCCAAGACATACCAATTTTCTGAAGGGTCCAGAACGTCTACATTCAAGAGAATATTCAAGGAGACGCCCAAGGGAGTGACAACAGCCTCGGGGCAAAGTTTTGTCTTCAAGGCACAGATGTATAGAAACAGATATATACATGTTTATCCTATCAGTATTTCACTGGAAGGCCATTAAGGAAAAGCCATCTGAAAGAGTTCCTGAGGGTGTACTACTGAGCTGTTCCGTGTGCTGCTTCCTGGGTGCCACAAGGCAGTGGCTTTGCTCCAGCAAGCACTTCCGCCACGACGTGCCTGCCTTGGCCTAAATGAGCCTGGACTGGTCCCTCCACTAAACCAACCGCTCCACTAAGTCAGCTTGTGTGAAGCCCTGGGTTTCATCCCAGTACTGCAAAACATGGAAAAAATAAGAACGGGGGGCTGGGGAGATAGCTCAGTGGTCTAAGAGCCTGTCTGGCAAGCACAAGGACCCAGGTTTGATTACTGGCTATGCAGGCCCGGAACTGGGTGTAGTAGCACATGCCTGTAATCCCAGCACTGGGGAGGCTTAGACAGGTGGGTCATTATGAATCTAAGCTGCATAGTGAGACCCTGAATCAAATAAATAAACAAATAAATAAATGATTTTAAAAGGTCAAAAATATGGGGCTGGTGAGATGGCTCAGTGGTCTAAAGCACCTACTTAGAACAAGCTTAGCAAAGCACAGGGACCACAGTTCAATCCCCCAGCACCACATGCCAGCCAGCGCCGCCCCCTGGTGGCTGAGCTGGCCACACACACGCACACACACACACAAATAAATTTTTAAAAAAGGTCAAAAATAAACCTGAGGGCTGAGGAGATAGCTCAGCAGTATAAGCACCTGCCTTATATACATAAGGTCCCAAATTTGATTACCAGTACTGAAGAAAAAAAATAAAAATAAAAAATAAACCTGAGGTGGAGAGATAACTCAGTGGCATAAGCACCTGCCTGGCAAGTACAAGGTCCTGAGTTCAAACCCTAGTACCAAAAAAGAAAAAAGAAGAAGAAAAAAAGAAGAGGAGGAGGAGGAGGAGGAGGTGGAGGAGAAGGAGGAGAATGTACCTGAGCATTTGGATACTAGGTGCAGCAGTCAGAAGTGGTATCCATGTCTGCTAGTAGTGGGTATTGCCAGGAAGGGGTCAGGTGGCAGTCAGGTGAGGAGCAAGGTCAAGAGACACATTATGGATTGGTGTGTGCGTGCGTGTGTGTGTGTGTGCGTGTGTGTGTGTGTTACACACACATTGCTTTTATCAGTGTAGCAAGTACTTATGAATTATAGCATGGATAGAATAGCACTTTGTGAGGGGCTGGTGGGCCTTTTCTGGTCAGAAGCTATTGTCCTTTCTTGTGGTGGCTGTGACATCATCGAGCACCTGCTGGGGCGAGGGCACCTGCCCAGATCTGACACTAGCCGTGAGGCAGGAGAGGGCCTCCAGGCAGCCCAAGGCAAGGTTCGTGTCCACCACAGAGCTTTTAAACAGCTGGTGTAGAGAGGCTAGCTTTGTCGTGGTTGGCAGGGCAGTCAGCAAGCTGGCAGGAGCCTCTTCTCCTTCTACAGGTCCCTCTCTTCTATCATTTTAGAACAGCTTCTACATATTTTGCTATTTCTAGTTTCCGTGTCTGCATCAGATCAGGCCCTAAACCACCATCTGTTTAACCTGACTGGAGCAAAGTCACAAAGTCTTACCTCTCTGGGTCAGTTGAAGCTTTTCCAAAAAAAAAAAAAAAAAAAAAAAAAGCAAGTAAATATTTTGGAAAAGTTAATCTAAAGTAATACAGGTAGCACTGAGTTCTGGAAATACTGTTTTTACATTCATTCATGAATACTGGAAGCAAATTGTTGGCTTCTCTGGAGCATGAACCCCACAAGGTGTGGACAGAGGGGAGAGGAAAGGATCAGGTGGGTGAAGGTGGCTGAGTGAAGGGCATGAAGGTCCCTAAGACACAGGGGGGAGTACAATGCAGGGATCAGGAGCACAGGCAAGAATGGGTGCATGCTGAACCCCCATAAGGCTCATGCTACAGTTTTGAAACACTCATAGATTTTCCTTAAATAAAATTCTCAGAATAAAAAGGGCTCAGCTTCGGATTTGGGGGATGGAAGAGAGTATGGAGCCCCCCACTTGCAGCTTTCAGGGGAATGTCTTTTTAGGATAACCCTTCATAACACTATAGGCATGGTAAGTCAGATTGAGTACCCCACAAATGCACGTCCATCCAGAACTTGCGAATGTGACCTGGGCTGTAAAGAGACTCTGTAAAAAAAAAAAAAAGAGAGAGAGCGAGAGACTCTGTAGATGTGAGTAGTTATAAGGAGCTCACTATAGATTACAGAGAGCTTGAACGTCAAGGACTGGTGTCCCCCTAAGAAGAGAAGGGACAGAGAGAGAAAAATCTCAAGTGACAAGGGAGACAGAGAGGGGAGAGAATCACTAGAGCCAAGAACATAGGCCCAGGATGTGCCAGCGAGCGCCAGGGAAGACTCCTTCCTGGACCCCTGCGGGCACTTTGATCCTGGACTTTGGCCCCCAGAAATGCCAGAGAATGAATGCCTATTGTTCAAAGGTACCCAGCATGTGGTTGTTGCCCACAGCAGTCCAGGGCAGAGGTGTCAGGAAGGTGTTGGGAGGATGACATTTGTAAAAAAAGAAAAACCACTACAAGAAGGATGTAAAACTAAAAAGAGAGACAACACGGCAGTAAAGGCCCTGACAGTAGGTGGTGGGTGCTCTGGGTTAAAAAGGCAGAGAAGCAGAGCAGAGAGCAGTGGACAGTCCCCTGCTGGGCAGGGGAGCACAGCAGGCCCCACAGCTGCTTTCACAGGCCCAGCTCTGTTGGGACAAAGCATAGCAAGCAAGCCCCGGGAGGCGGCCCTGTAGTTGACATTGAGGCTGGTCAAGGATCTGAGACCTCGCATTGGGACTGGGTTCAGGGGTCACCTGCTCTGCTTTCTGCCCGGGGCATCCTAGCTTTGTAGGTGAGCCATGTCCACAGCTGTGTTCCCCTGGTAGGGGGCGCCAAGGTCCATAGCCCATTAATCCACATAAATATTGTAAGACTCTTAAACTGGGACTGTTTCAGGCATGTAAAAATGTCCTGTCGGTGGTGTGACAAGTCCCTACCATACAGAGCCCACCGACTACACTCTACCCTTCAGATTTCCTTGGAAGACACAGCTGGCACCTGACTGTCCTCCTCCGTCCTGTTCCCTCTCCTTCTATCCACAGGTAACTGCTATTTTAAACATCACTTCCTACGTATGGATGTGACAAGAAAAGGCACATATCAGCAATAATTTTGCACAATACTTTACCTATACAGTAACATATATAAGCAGTACTTTTACCACTAATTCTCACTTTACACAAATACGTGATGTTACGTGTTTGGAAGGTTTATCTTTTTCCTTCTTTTGGGGGGCCAAGGATGGAACTGGGGGCCATGGCATGCCAGGCAAGTGCATGCAATGAACCACAGCCAACCCCAAGTTTTATCAAACTGACACCTACAGTTCCATTCACTCATGTTCCTTTCTAACCTGAAGGAACCACTGCCAGGGTAGCCATGTCCCTGGGGAAGGGCATTAGGGCTGTTTCTAGCTTTCCTCTGCCACACACAGCGCTGTGCGGATATCCTTAGCATCTCTGGGCACAAGTGGGGGCATTTATTAGCTCATGCATTCCTGTGGTTGATTGCTTTGGTCTGGAGTGACAGGCTGGCCTAGACAGAGTTCGACACCGCTTGAAGAGGTCTGTACATTAAAAACATTTGGAAAGAGGAGCAAATCAATCCTCGGAATCCAAACAACAGAGCGAGATAGTTGGAGAGTCCTGTCTCCACAAGCAGCTCCAGTCCATCCCAGAAGCTGGGGCTGCAGCAAGAGCTCACCGGAAGAGATTCCCATTCACCTCTTCAGGAATGCCTGGCAGAGGGCTTGGCTCCAGTGTGCCTGAGCGCCAGTATTCCCAGGCCAGTGTGCTGCTGGCTCCTTTTCCCACAGGCTGCTAGGGGGACAGCGCTGGACAAGAAGGGCTGGAAGCCAAACCATTTCCAAGAAGACCTGACAACTACTGCAAACCACATGACCAGCTGTAAAACTCAAAGTTCAGGCCCCAAAGGCTAATGAAGGTGGCAAAGAAAAAAACAAAATGGGGAATGATCAAAGCACACTGTACAGCTCAGTAATACAGACTGGCCTGGCATATGTGAGGCCCTGAGTTCAACCCCTAGCACCACCACCAAAAAAAGAAAGAAAAACAAAACATAAACTCCTATGCCAGAAATCACTGGAGAGGAGACCTCTGCTGCTGTGGGCACTCCCTGCAGCTGAAGCAGATTTCTAGACTGAGTCTGAGCTTTGAACCCTGCACACCAAGAAGGACATGGTCATGACTCAAAGAACCAAGGGCCATTGTTCCTCTGAGTCTCTTCATACAGAAGGAAGAACCACTAGAAAGGCAGGTGGAGGCTAGGGAAGGGGCTGAGGCAGTTCAGACACTGCTCCCCAGCAGCTCATTCCTAGTCTCCTCCAAGGGCACTGAGTCAATGCATCTGAGTTAGGGTGCTGGAGCCCCAACACCAAAAGATGTATTGAATTTCCTACCTCCAGACCTGTGAAAGGGACCTCACTTGGGAAAATTTACAGGAACATTCAACGAA